GACACACACACACACACACACACACACACACACACACACACACACATAGACCGCCTCGGTGGCCTCTTGGCTAGAAATCCGCTTTGAGAGATCTAGAGGAAGTTCGTTAATCTTTTAAAAGCACTAAAACACAATAAAAATGAACTTTTTAAGTCAATCCAAGTGTAAAACTGAACGATCAACAGATAATAACAGCTTGCAGAGCACGCCCTCTCAGTCAGCTGTTTACGTAAACAAGCTTGAAGAGAGCTGGAAGTTACCGTTCTGACCCTGTTTAAACAATCAGAGCCCTCAGTCGTGCATAGTGACAACAAGCTGTTTACATTTCAGACTATTCATGCTCGAAAAGGGGTCAAAATCTAAAAATAGTTGCGAATGAAGAATGTTGAAGCAAAGGTGGCCATGAGGTAATGGTTCTATAAATAATCTCACAGCTACACGTCAGCAAGGTCAAAATTCCTTTATTTCGTTACCCAAGCTCACAACAAACTACACATACCTCCAATATAAATCAAAATAAAATATATAATCGATGATACTTGTTTATTTTGATCTTAAATGAAGTCAGAATATATCAAACTTTCAGTAGATCAAAAAAACAATTCGTGGAACGTCACTTTTTTGCCTTTCGAGCCTCAGCTGATAATACTGCCTCTTATGACTGATATTGACCGGGGGAGAAACATATATAGTTGCAGGCTGACTTTTTTACAGGTTATTTTTGTTTAATACGGGGTGCCCACTACGGCTGGACCGGGCCGATTGCCCTACTTGATCGCCTGAAACTGAAAACAAACACGTTTGTTTTTGAGACGATCGAGTCGGGCGATCGCCCCGATCAGCCGATCCCAGCCGTAGTGGGCACCCCGTATAATGTGGAAAAAATATGTAAATTTTCAATGTCTATAGTTGTACAATGTGGTACATTTAGATATCTGTGATTGCACCAAAATGTTGAACAGACCTTCTGTGTTATGAAATCAATTATCCTTTAAAATGCAATGCCATATTTAAATGATTATTGTACTTCTCATATTTCGATAGAATGTCAACTTTTTTTGTTACTAAATGTGCTGCGATTTCTCCTTAGTTTATGAATATTTAAACTTTGGTTCTATTTTCTTCTTTTCAGCGTGTGAAAGACATCATTTTGGAATCGAATCCTTTGCTCGAAGCCTTTGGGAATGCAAAAACTGTTCGCAATAACAATTCTAGTCGTTTTGTAAGTCTACTTTTGAAAATTCTGATTGTCTTTTGGTGCATTTTATGTGAGGTACTGGTGATTTTGATTTAGTTTGACATATAGATTAACCTGTCATAATTATGTCTGGAGATGAAAGATTTTGTCTAAAATTGTATGTGGATAGAGGATACAATTTTTTGCTAGCATTGTAATAATAGCTGTGGTTATTTTGCTTCTTTTTTTCCTTTGTGGCTCTTGGTATAGGAATCTCTTGTCATGCCATTTGCATACGTTTAGAGTCATTTATTTATGTCAAGCTGTAATAATAAAAAAAAAAATGTTTGATCTCAAATACCCTGAAATATTGAGTGTCTGTTTGACAATTTAATTAGCAGTGACAAATTTGTTTGTGTCACTGCTTGTGGTTATCTTTATTCCCCGAAGCAATGTTGTTGAGTGGTAGGTGTTAACATATATTATTATTTTTTAAGGGAATTGAAAATTGGTTGCCTGAATCACAATGAAATTTTCAGATTGAAGCTTACAAAGTTAAGTTATGAGATAATGATAAATAGCAAACAGTTAATTTTCGTCTCGTATATGTTTAGATGAAACTGAGCAGCTTGCTTTTCTTCTTCGTTAATGCCCTTAACAACTGATGGTGAGAGTTGTATTTTCATTTCAGGGGAAGTATGTTGAGATTCAATTCAGTCGTGGTGGGGAACCAGATGGCGGAAAAATCTCAAACTTTCTCCTGGAAAAGGTAAGAATTTCATACAGATGATAGAGAGGAAAGGTCCCAGTTTTGTGTAATTCTCTCAAGTTGTTGCGGAAAAAAAGTCTAGAAGGCATGGATTGGTGCTGACGGGAAATAAAATATGTCGTCACAGTATGCCTGATGCTGTTTTGTGAGCAATAAGTTTGCCGTTGCTGTCCTGAAATTTGTCCCAGATCATATCCATTCAATTTCAGTGAGAAATTTTATCCTCTTGCTTGCATCCTGCTAGGTACCTTTTTTTAGTCATCATCATTGCTTTTCTCACCCTGCACCAGGGTATAGGCCTGGCAAACACTTTCCACCTTTCTCTATCCTGGGCTAGCCTCTTGATGTTGTCCCATGTCTTCCCACTTTTCTGTACATCAATTTCTGTGATTCTTCTCCAGGTTCAACCCGGTCTTCCTCTTGATCTTTAACCCTGCTTTTTAACAGTGGGCTTTTTATTTTATTTTAAGCCATTATGTTCGAATTTGGAAACATGCTTTTTTTTTGGTGAGAAGTTACAATATCATAGTGTTGCTGAAAGAGGAAGTTGTGTATTGTTCTTGTGTGTGAGTGGTTAATAATTAGAAGACACAGTTGTGAGAGATGGAGGCAGCAGTTTCAGAAAAAAAATCATGCAGCATTCACTCTGATTTTACTTTCAAAATTTAGTGGCACATTTTGAATTTGTGGATTTTCCTTCCCCTATTTTGATTTCTCTCCTATATTGCTTGTGAATTTTTGGAAGCCTGCCAACACAAGATATTTATGGAAATGCATTTAGAATTCCGACAGAAATACAGGTGGAAAGAATTTAAGCTACTATACTTCAAGGAAGTGGGTGGATGGGGTAGATGCTCATTTTTCCATGAAACCTTGCCTTTAATTTATAAAAAAAAGAAATAATAGTTGCATTTGCAATTTTAATGAGGGTTTTACTGAATAAGTTTGTTCAGTCAGTGATTGATGATCTAAAGGCAATAACCATGTAGATGATGTGAAATTGATGAGGAGTGGTAATGGGTTCAGTCAGAAGATTTATGTCTGTAATGCTTTGGCAGGTTATTTTATTTGTGTGGATGAAAGATTATGACACACTGGCTGTCAGATTTCTAGGACAATGTTGCCCTACAGAGAAGTGTTTTGGGAGGAGAGAGGAGGTTGATGGGGTGTTGTAGTTCTGCATATGAGATTTGTTTAGAGTAATGTTTTTGTAATTTGGCACTGGTAGTGTAATGGGAAGAAATGGAATCATCTTATGTATTGATTCTTAGAATAAGATCTCTCAACAGGGTGCTTTTTAGGCCAAAAGTAAGGTGCTAGCCACTCATACTACAGTACTTAGTTTGACTTCAAGTTTGAAGGGATTTGATACCTTTGGATGATGTGAGTTTTTTTTCTCTGCCTTTTCACACCCATGGTCCCAGGGTAGGTGAGATAAAACTCCTTGTGTTGGGTCATGGTAAAAAAATTGTGCCTCTTTGCTGTTATTAATGGCACCTTTGAAACCTTACTTATAATAAACTTTGCAGCATTATTCAGGGAAACAAGCCCCAACAAGATTCAGATTACCTTTGGAAAAGAGAAGGAACTGTGTGTGACAGCTAAAGGACGTGTTTGAGTTTTTAGTGTTTTGTTTAATGTGAAAAGCCCTTTAAAACAAAGAACTGAAATTATCTTTGAGAAAGTACATGGATCAGTTGAGCATGAGTAAAAGATTTTTGTTGAAGGCTCCATGTGTTAATGTAGCTATAGCTTGATCATCTTGTTTATTTTGTATTAAAAAGTTGATTGATTTTATTTGCAGTCTCGAGTTGTCAGTCAGAATGTTGATGAGCGAAGCTTTCACATATTCTACCAGCTGTGCGCGGGGTCAACAGAGGAGACACAAAGTTAGTTTGTTTTGTTGATTTGAGTTTTGATTTGTCTGTTTTTAATGAGTGTAAATAAAAAGTCAAAATACATAATATTCATTTTCGTTACTAATGAATGATCTACGAGGTATTACTAATTTATTATGACTGCAGGAGATAAAGGCATGGCCTTATTTTAGTGTTTGGGAGAGGTGGATAGAGTGGGTGTGGGGGGAGGGAGGGAGGGAGGGGGGAGAGGGAGAGGGAGGGAGGGAATGTGACAGACCTTTATTCTGCCGAGTTACATCCTTCAGTTACCTTTTGTCAAGCTGCATGCTTTACATGAATGATAACTGATATCTTGAATCTCACATGCTGGGTTTGGTTTTTGAGACATCTTTGCTTTTCCCAGGAAACTTGGGAGTGACCAGTCCAGACTATTATTATTACCTGAAACAGAGTGGCACCTACAAAGTGGATGGAATTGACGATAGAAAAGAATTTCAAGACACTTTAGTAAGCAAATTTTATTTTAGTTTGTTCATATTTGTAAGAGTATTACAAACAAAATTCAGGCTAGACACACATTTTTTTTTTGGTTCTTTTTTTTTGGTAAGTGTTTTACTGGGCTTGCAACTGCATACAGTTATATGAGCGCGCGACACACATATTTGTGTATTAAACATTTTAAAGGAAATAAATATTGTACTATTTTAACAATGTTTGCAAATGTTACTCCAATTGAAATTTATTTGAATAATAATGTTAAGTTTATCTTTTGTTGATATGAGAAATGTCCAAGACCTGTCTGAGAAGAAGGACACTTTTACACAATAATTACGACATATTAATTAGACTTTGCATGTGAGAAGTGTGTATTTTTGGCCAAATTGAGATAAAAGATATAAAATAATTGACTTGGAATGTGTTTGTGTCATCTCAGCAAGCCATGCAAGTTATCGGCATCACAACAGATGAGCAAAATGACATCTTGAGTATTGTTGCTGGCATTCTCCATCTGGGCAATATTTCTTTTGTGGAGTCTGGCAACTACGCTGTGATAGCTAATGATGAGTGTAAGTTTTTTTAAACTGCAGCCATGGATGGTGAAATGAATTTTTAACAATAAGAGTATAAATATCTTGACATTTTAGTAATTCATGAGTTTTGTAAGTTTGTAAATATTTTTATTATAATTATTGATTCTCAAATGCATGGCCCTTTAATCAAATGCCATGAAGGGATTTAAGTTCCATGGGCAACAGACCTATGGTCTTTGTAAACTGCAATAAGCAGCTTGTTGATGTACTGTACATATTCTTTGCTGTAAGCTCTTTCCTCATACCATACCCTGAGCCAACATTTGGAAATGTATGAGTGTAGAACAATGTGTAACAATCAAGTAAATGTAATTTCTTTCCTTTTAACTATTAATTTTATGTTTGGTAGGAGATTCCTATTCAATAGATAAATACTATTGCAACAAATTCTTTTCAGTCCTTCAGTTCCCAGCCTTTTTATTTGGCATTGATCAAGAGTTGCTACGAGACAAGCTGACAGGCCGTGTCATGGACAGCAAATGGGGTGGGAAAACGGAGAGCATCGAGATGAAACTCAATGTGGAGCAGGCAGAATTTACCAGAGATGCCCTCGCCAAAGCTCTATACTCCAGGCTGTTTGACTTTTTAGTTGAGGTAAATTGTTTTGCTTAAAGAGAATGAAGCTTTGATATTCAAGATCTCAAGTTCAGAGTGTTTAGTCTAAAAAATTTGTATTTATATTTCCTCTGTGGGGATGAACGCTACATGTAAACCATCTCTCTCTCTCTCTCTCTCTCTCTCTCTCTCTCTCTCTCTCTCTCTCTCTCTCTCTCTCTCTCTCTCTCTCTCTCTCTCTCTCTCTCTCTCTCTCTCTCTCTCTCTCTTTCTCTCTTTCCCCTCCTTCCTCTCTCTCTCTCTCATTTGTCTCTTTCCCTCTCTATCTCTTTCTCTCTCTCTCTCTCTGTCTCTCCCCCTCTCCCCCTCTCCCTCTCTCCCCCTCTCTCTCCCTCTCTCTCATGGGGGGTTGATGGGTGCTCTGGTGTGGTTTGCTCCTTCTTTCCTATCAAACATCTGTCATCCTTATCTCCCCTCCTTCTTTTTTGTGTTTGTTAGTCTCTTGTAACACCTCTAATCTTCGGCACTTCATTGAACTAACTCTTAAGGCTGAACAGGTGAGTTAAGTGTGCTTTCTGATGAACTGGATCCCAGTGGAATTTGTAAAAAGACCAATTTTGCCTTCACATCAATTGTTTATTTTATTAACGGAAGGAGTGACCCTCAGTTTGGCCAGTTTTAAGTCAAGCTGAGCAATTTGAGATGTTGGCTAATTTTTGAAGATCAACCAGTTCTTTGTCTAAATATAGCAAGGAGAGAATTGAGAAAGTCTTTATTCTCGTTATTAATTGCCTTAAAAACTCTGTGAATTTTCACAATAATTGTTGTTTTTATCAAAATGTCATTTTTTCAGTTTTTCCCCTACTCCTTCCTTAGTTTTCACCCTTTTGACATAAAACTTTCAGGTAACGTAGATGGCAAGGCTGTCATCAATGTGACAGAGGGATATTTGAGAAAAAAATAACTGTTTTCCATTGGAAAGAGATTACGCAACCAAAATTTTGAAAGGGTTTATATGTACATTGGGAAAATTCTCATATATTTTTTCTTTTAGATTTATTGATAAATACTTTCTGTCAAGTTGATAGGGACTGGTTTAGATATACTCTCACTAAATTTGGTGAAATTTGGTCTGTAAATATAAAAGCCCCAGGGATTTGAAATTTATTGTTTATTTTCAAGATGGCGGTCATTTCCATACCAACCGCTGTAGCTTAGCAAAAATGAAAGTACACATCAAGAGATTTTTCTATGCCTAACTTATATGTGTACTTAAATTTGGTCTTGGGCAACAAACATAGAAAATGGACCTTCAGGGTCGCTCCTCCCGTTAATTGGTTTATATACTATAGCTGTATGTCAGTGTGAGTCATGTTGATGCATGAACAGATTTTTTCTCTTATGCTGTTTCCTTCTCGTTAATGGTAGATAACTATATTTTTTTCACTCTCTTTGCTCTACTTTGTGGTTTGTTTATCTGGTTTTCATCACATGGTGTTAGTCTGATAAATTCTAATTTCACATAATCATACATATAATAAAGTAAGATGTGCTCTTATGAAATCAAAAAGTTTGGGCTTTAACAGTCCTCATTTCCTTTGCAAATTTTTCTTTGTACTCAAGATGTTGCTTTTGTTTCTTTCCAGGAGGAGTATGTACAAGAGGGCATAAAATGGACACCCATTGATTTCTTCAACAACAAAATTGTGTGTGATCTCATCGAGTCCAAGAGCCCGCCTGGTGTTATGTGCATCCTGGATGATGTGTGTGCCACAATGCATGCAGTCGGAGAAGGGGCAGATGAAAAATTGTTAGGGGTACGTCTTGTGTCATCTTACAGCTTGTAAATTTGTTTGTATAAAGTCTTATGAAATGAACTGATGATCAGGCATTTTTTCCAATTTTTGTTACTTTGTAAGGCCTCTAAAGTTGCAGACTGATACTACTTGGGGTAGTAAAACTGACGAAGAAAGTACATGTCAAATTGTTCATTCACTAGTCTGGTCATATTGACTGGCTTATGGAAAAGTCTAGTATTTGGATAGCAGATGCTGAATTACTTAATAAGTGTCAGTGAATTCTTTCTGGACGTTTGATGTGTTCATCTATTAGTAATTTTGGATATGTTATTCCTTGGAATGCATTTTTTTGCAATACCTTTTTTTTATCATCTGAAGAGAACTAGGTGTCTTGCAAATTCCCACACGGTTTAAAATGACTTCAGTTTGTGCAGAATATATTGAAACAATACCTTAAATTCTGTTTTGCTCACTTTTAGAAAGTTGGTAATAGCAGTTTTCGGCATTATAATTTTGGTCTTCCTGTAATGACGTTACAGAAAAATGTGCCTCTTTAGAATTTTAAGAGTCAAACGTTTGAAAATGTTTCTATTCTTATATTAAAAATCTACCAATTGTTCTCTCACTTTTGAAAAGCAGTGTGCACTTCCTTTGCAATCACTGTCAATGGCTTTGGGTGCTGTTCTGTTTGAGTTGATGAAGGGTTTTCTTGTCAGCTGTTTCAGCTTGTTTTCTTAGAGTTTGTTGTCAAGATTTTTGTTCTCTCACCAGCTCGTAAGCCAGTAGAGATTGTAGAATTGCAGAACATGCTTTTTTTCTGAACACCTTATGTGTAAGCAAGAGTACGGAGGACGTGAATCCTGTGGTGTGTTACAAATTCTGTTGTTCGTTTAAGACTGTTATGTGCTTTACAGAAACTTGCTGGTGCTGTGTCAACAAACAAACACTACCAAGCCTGTGCTGCTGGATTTATCATTCATCACTATGCAGGGCAGGTAAGGAAAAAAACAACAAGTCGTTACTGTCACGCTGGTTGCAAACTGATAATTGTCAAGTTGAGTTGCCACTTTCATCATGAGAGTTTTTCAAATACTGCCATCCAGCTTTTCTGTCAATTTTTACTCCTTTTTTTTTTTGTCCCTCAAATTTCAGTAGTAGAAAAACAGGGATAAACATTGTGGACATAACAACACATATATTCTTACTCTTTTGATCAACATTGTTGTTTCAGCCTAAACGAGTTACTGTTTTAGGACATATTTACAGTGAGTAAAAAATATTGTAGCTGCTCATTTTTCATGCTATAGCAATGATATATGTTTTAATAATTATGTTTAATTGAAGAATTTTATGCTATTTTTACCTCATCTTTTTAAAAAGATCTGTACTATGCTGCACTTTTTCTGTCATAGAAAATCCTTCTTTTCCGTTTGAGTAGTTAAAAAAATCTATTTCACCTTACTCCTTGAGCAGATACAAATACAAATATTTCATAAAGTCACATGGTGAGAATTTAACCCCCACCTTAACATTACAGTGAACTTGTCATTGCTATTAAGTAATGAAATTTATCTTCATTTCTAAGATCATATCAAGTAAACTAAAGATATTCTTCAAATTGTTCATACCAGGTGGAATACCAAGCAGATGGTTTTTGTGAGAGGAACAGGGATGTACTCTTTACAGACCTTATACTCCTCATGCAGTCCAGCACAAAGTGAGTGGCCTAGTTTTGCTTACCTTTCCAATGTCAGAGGGAGCTGATTTTGTTTTTGCTGCTACTTGTAAAGTTCTGTTTGTGTCCCTGAATTAGATGCAGTATTTTTTTAACCATGCTATTGACTCAATGTGATCTCGTAGATACCACTTTAGTCTATGAAGAACGTGGATGTTCCTGGAAATAGACTTTATTGTAATGGAAATCTAATTTCTGTTGAAGTTTGGAGCACAAAAATGAACTGGTCATAATTTGGGTTTTATGACTGACATTGATTTCAATTGATGAGAACAGATTCATGTGGTACAAACTGTGTGGTTTGGACTAAACAAGTTCTACCAACAATTTATTACATGTTTAGCAGGCCCAAGGGCCAGAGCCCAGGTGGCCGCTGGATCGAAAAATTAAAGTAAAGTATTACATGTTTTGGATGAAAAAAAATTGTGTCTCTTTTCTCATGAATAGGTTCTTATGCCCTTTCCCCTTTTATGTAAAAAAAGCGGAGGCAATTTTTATTGAACTAATGGAATGAGCTGGAGTAGTAAAGGAACTCTTTAAGTAGTTTAAACCTACACAGACAATCCAAAGGAAGATTCAGCAAATGAATATACAATACCTGAAAAAAAAAAGTTTAAACTATTGCATCCCATTTCTTTGAAAATGTAAAAGCTTCAGTGACTATTGTGCTGTTTCCTTATCTTTCAATTAATATATCTCTCCTTTTTTAGTCCCTCCTAGCTGGTTTGTTTTTCTTCTTCTATTTTATGTGTTTTCAGAATGACAACCCTTAGAGTTTTAATTTTTCTTCAACTATTTTTGTTTTTGCTCAGCCCATTCATCTCAGGATTGTTCTCAGAGAGTGTTGATACCACAAAAAGAGGGAGACCAACCACTGCTAGCAGCAAGATCAAGGTACGAACATTTAAAGAGAAGAGGTATGTGGGTATTTATATACCTGTCAACATTATATTATATGCTGGACGCCACACTCGACCTTGTTGCTTGTCTTGGCCCGCTTGATGTTAGTACTTCTGCTGATTGGGTTCAATTTGATTTTTCCCTTTTGTTTCGTGAAAGTGTGCACCTTACAAGATTTCGAGCTCCTTACCCCTAAACTAAAATGATGTTATTTATTATTTTATTGTATACCTTATAAAATTGCAAGCTCTTTACTTGTGCCCTAACAAGCCCTTGTAAAATTGTGTGATGTTTGTGAATGTTTCAGAGTCAGGCGAACACACTGGTGAACACCTTAATGAAATGCACTCCGCATTACATTCGGTGCATCAAACCAAATGAAACAAAGAAAGCCAAAGATTGGGAGTCTGTGAGGTGGGTACAAGTGTAACTTTTGCTCTTGAGTTGTTTGATAATCTTGTGTTAATTCTGACCTTTCACCTCATTCAAGACAAGTTTGCTTTCTTATTAATGGAGTCCAAGGATGTTAATGAACTAAAAAAAGGCTTCATATACATGAATAGGTTTGATTGCCTTGTTGGCCAAGATTCAGTCTAAACAGAATTGATAAAATCAGATGAAGTTGGTGGGTTGTACTGTAATTTTGTGCTATGAAACTTTTTTAATGTTGATAATTTTTTTGTTGGTGCATTGAAAAACGTGGTTATTTTTTTTGTATCTAGGTTGTCCATAGCGTGCAAATTCACAATAGTTTCATAAGTGTGGTTTGAACATAATTTTTTAGTCTTTGAGGTCTCGGGAGTAGTTTGAAGTGTTTGTAGAGAGAAATTTGTGCATGCTTTGACGTTAATAATTTCATTACAAGTCAAGCTTTTTGGTCGCCTCCTTAATGGTCTGAATTGTGTAGAGGGAGGTGTAAGACACTTACAATTACATTTGAAGCTCTTTAGAAGGATTAGTTTTGTTTTTCACGGATTGCTAATACCAATACTTTATTCATCATTGGAACTTTGAAACATGTCATGTCATAATTTTTTTGGCTTTAAGATATCCCCCTCTTTTTCTTCAAACTATGATGCTTTATACTGACTGTAAACTAGTGAGGTTTGCTGCAGGTTGTAATGCTAGTGTTGACGTGTCAGATCATGAGTACTGATGTGTCTATTCAAGGCTGCAGAACAAAAACCCCATGGGTGCACTCGTTTGTTTGTTTAAAAATATATATATAATGAGGTGTTAATTTCCCTTCTTCGCAGAGTGAAACACCAGGTAGAGTACCTTGGCTTGAAGGAAAACATTAGAGTGCGCAGAGCAGGTTTCGCCTTCAGGAGAGAATTTGCCAAGTTTATCAAGAGGTGAGGAATTGTAATAAAAGCAGTCACATAAAGTTCTATACAGTAAGACTAATGGTATTCCAGGTTGTGTTGGGTGGTACCTACAGGAATAGGTACTGAGAAGTCCCCTGTACTGAGGCTCAAGTGCTTTGGGTACTGTCGGCTAGGAAACATCTCTTCTCTACTGTTATATTTTACATAGCTTTGGAACAGTTGTGAATTTATGTACTTGGGAAGACGAAGCAACTAAAATGTTTGAATAATGTAAAAGCCTGTACAAGAAGTATGTAGGCTTCATGTCATAAGTGCCTTTGTTAGTCTACTGAAATTTCTCTAGGATTATGAGGAACTTTATGTCTTGAAATAGACATAACTCAATCTCAAAGAAATCTGTTTTGTCATGAAATTGTATGGTATTTTTTTCTTCTTAGAATTGTACTAGTGCTGGTTGGAAAGGCCATCTGATGAGTCTTTTCTTGATCTATCCAGGTATGCTATTCTGACTGAAGAGACCTATCCAGCTTGGCGTGGTGACCCTCGCAGCGGGGTCTTACATTTGCTGAAGACGGTGAACATGGACACAGACCAGTACCAACTTGGCAAGACCAAAGTTTTCGTCAAGAATCCAGAGTCTGTGAGTTTTTCAGTGCAGATGCATTTTCTATTGAAGGCAACACTGAATTGTTCATTATACTCATATATGTTATATGACACAGCAGCTTTTTTTTTTTTACTCACAAGAGAAATCCTTAAGCACAAGAAAATGGTAATGTTTACTTTTTTTACATTTTCACTTTACCTTGACATAATCTGCTGATTTTGAAAAGCAGAGATTGGGTGTTATTCCTTCAGAATGATTTTAGTGAACATATTTTGTGTCATAATGGCATTTCTGTTTTTTCATTATTATTATGGCATCATCTTGTGAATTTTAAAAAGCAGTTTTGTATGCTATCAGTTCAGTATGATTTTATTGTATTTTTGTGTCACAGGGACATTTCTGTTTATTTCTTAATAAAGGCTATTTTATTGCTTTGTCTGTTTCAGCTGTTTTTGTTAGAAGAAATGAGAGAGAGAAAGTTTGATGGCTATGCAAGAGTCATCCAAAAAGTCTGGAGAAAGCATCATGCACAGAAGCTTTATTTCAAGCTCAGGGAAGAAGGTATTTTTGTCAAAAAAGTATATGTGTCACGACGTGGTGAAATCAGGCTCTCGTCAATTTTTGGGCATATGGAGTTATTGATATCATCTTTAAAGCCTGTCTATTTGCCTTGTATTCAATGAAAAAATATCCATTTATCTTGGATACAAGTCAAGATATTGGTGATTGAAGGAGGTAGGGGTCGCCTGGTTTCAGAGGTAAAATTAACAAGAAAATGGCCGTCAAAGTGTAGTTATTTCCTAAGCTTTAGAGTCCGTGGAAACCTAAAATGTACAACTTTTATGTCTTTAATCAACGTTTTTCAGTAAAATCCACACAGAAGTGTGTTCTGTAGGAGGCATGAAAGGTGTTAAGCCAAAAAACAAAAAGTCGATAAAAATTCCCAAACCTGCAGAAAAATGCCAGTCTCTTCACTGTCATTATTTTGACGAGCGCCTGATTTCACCACGCTGCCTCACATATTATTGAATTATTAAAACAGAGCCTTTTCTACCAATTAATATGCTGGGTGTTTCATTTATTCTTTTTAATGTTCATTTTTACTATTTAATCCTCTAATTATTTTGCAAATGAAGATTTGTAAACAACTTTTCAATAAAACTCTAAAATATGATATTAGTCCCTAGTTAGGCCCAATATTCAACAAGATAAAAAGTGGACATTGCAATTTGTCATGGGTAACTGCAATACTTTATTTGAAATCTTTGAAAGTTAAGGGTTTGCTCTTGTAGATGCCTGGTTTGGTATATATTGCTACTTTGTGACTGCCTAGAGTCTATTTGAATTACATGTGGTCTTTTTCGTTTGCTTGTGCAGCCACAGACATTCTCTTCAACAAGAAGGAGAGACGGCGTCACAGTCTCAATCGGAACTTTGTGGGAGATTATCTTGGCTTAGATGACAACCCTGAATTGCGGGCCTTGGCTGGAAAGAGGGAGAGAATTGAGTTTGCTGCCCAGGTCACCAAGTTTGACAGAAGGTTCAAGGTAACCATTTTGACCATCCCTTAATACTTTTCATTTGGAAAAATTTGTATTCTACTGTTTCACAAAGGACCAGTTTGCATGCCTATGTATTGCTTTTATAATACCCAATCCACAATATTAATGCACCTAATAGAACGATCCTTGATCCTTGAGTGCGTATGTTTAATTTTAGGGATATATTATCAGGCCACAAATTCTGTTGGTCACTAGGATTTATTAGATCATGTCTCTGCTGCTCAGGAGGACTTTCAAAGTGAAAAAGATCAACCCTCCTTACACAACACAGAACTAAAAACATCATTTGGCTTTTTATGTGTGTGTGTGTGTGTGTGTGTGTGGTAGCCTATCCGTTCGAAATGTTTGGAGCCCCGAAGAGCACGACATCAGGGCCACCGCCTCCCTTGGGTAGCGGGTGAGGGCTGTTTATGTTGCAAGGAAATCCTCTTATATCAAAGCTACATTTTCCTTCATGTGTTATTTTCTTTACATCCATGTCTACTCCTTCATTTTGCTTTTTATTTGCTTTTTACTAGTCCCCTAGGCACCATGGGTTACAAAGTTTATCTTGCACACAGTTATTTAAGTTCAAAACGGATGATTTTTCTCATCCATCCTAAAACTTTTCCTTTCAGTCCTGTCTTTGAAATGACCTACATTTGGTTCATAAGTTCATTTTCTATTTTGAATGATAAACTCTATCACTCTATCATTATGAATGCTTTGAGACAACTTTCTTGAAGTGAATGAAGATGTGCCATATTTTGCCACTATCTCATACTGATTGTGAATTGTCAGAACTGAAATATTATAGGGCAGTTTTGCTCAAAGCTGTACTTTGTGATGACTAAAATCTTTCTAATGAAATGCCTTTCAGAGTGTGAAAAGGGACATGCTGTTGACAGGAAAGAGTTTACTGCTAGTTGGTCTAGAAATGGTGAGTGCCTTAAGTCTTCAAGAAACATTAATACCTGATGAATGTTTATGTGGTTGTTAAATTAAGCTTTTGAATAGTATTTTTAAAAAGAATCTTTCCCCATATAAATGATACCTCTCTATCGTTATAAATGTTTGCTTTTACTTTTCTTAAAAGGCAGTGTATCAATTATCTATGGAGAATTGATAACTTCACTCCTTTTGTAATATATAAGTGAATTTACTTTTTCATCATGAAACTTCACTTGTATTAAAACATGAAATATTGTTTTGATCAACAGAGAGGTTGTTGTATGATGCTTCATGAAATGTGATTTATGCCTGTAGTTAGACTTACACTGTAGATATTGATAGTATATGCTTTGAATTGACAGATAAAGAAAGGTCCCCAAAAAGGAACACGTCAACTTGTTGTGAAACGTGACATTCCCTTGGATCAAGTCTCCAGCATCTATATGAGGTTTGTCTGTGTTTTTTTTTTTCTTTTAAGAGGAGTAGAACAAATGATTTTATTTGGTTTTGAGTCAAGTATCAATTCTTTCTACTCTTGACATAGTTTCCTTATTAGTCTTTTGATTACAGACATTTTTATACTCAGATTAAATATGTTTATGTATTCATGTGAAATGATCAAATCAAAACAAACTTTCTTCTCTCCTAAAATTTGTTTTCATCACACTCTGAGCAAATGGTAGGTCAGACCCATTCAGTTAAGTTGTGCTTGAAGCAAGCAGGTCTGTTGTGCATTATTATGTGGTTCTTTGAAGAAATAATCCTATCTCCTTTATCTTTTGTTTCAGCACCATGCAAGATGACTATTTTGTCTTGAATGTGAACAATGAGTATGGCAGTTTTCTAGAGAATGTTTTCAAGACAGAATTCCTCACAGTTCTTTCTAAGAAGTACAAGGAAAGGACCAGACAGGAACTGTGTGTGCAGTTTTCAGACACGTAAGTTTTGACACCTTTGGGTTTTGCAGTTATTGTTACCAATCCAGTTGTTCTGTGGCTTGTGCCACTCAGCTGGTTAAATGGTTAAAATAAAGTATAATCCCCCCCCCCCTTTCCAGTGTTGACCATTTCTCCCAAGACATGCTCAGATACCAGATATATCTCACTTCGAACAAAGCTGAGGATTTTCAATTCAAATGTGAAGTTGGTCCTGTTGTATGGATGTGAGACATGGAACGCATCACAGACTTGCATAAAGAGGATCCAAGTTTTCTTGAACAGGTGTCTAAGAAAGTTACTAAGGATCAGATGGACAGACAGGGTCACCAATGTGGAAGTGTTAAGGAAAACAAGACAGATCCCAGTCAGGGATGAGGTAGGAAAAAGGCGGTGGCGATGGATTGGACATACTCTCAGGAAGTCAGGCAGCTGCATAACAAAGAAAGCTTTGGACTGGAACCCACAGGGTAAGAGATCAAGGGGACGACCGCGTGGAACCTGGAGAGGAATCACAGAAATCGATGTACAGAAAAGTGGGAAGACATGGAATAACATCAAGAGGCTAGCCCAGGATAGAGAAAGGTGGAAGGTGTTTGTCCGTGGCAGGGTGCAGGGTGAGAAAGGCAATGATGATGATGATGCTCAAATACGCTGCTGAAAATTTTGAATAACTGGCAAATTTCTGGCTCGATTCTTTGGACCTTCTGTTCAATATTGAATGTCAATTGTTCGATTATTTGTGGGTTGTTTTGGAAGACGGTCTTAAAAAAAACCCACCGAAGGAAAACATTGCACTCTGAATGGGTCATCCTTTTTTTGACACATTGCTTATGGCAGTATCAGTTTTGATGAAAGTTATTTAAAGCACAAATACTCATTATGGCTTATTTTTTAAGAAGTTGTAAAGTATTGCTTTTTACCCAGTTTTTCGATATTCTTTGAACTCATTGGTTGATTTTCTTTATATTAAACAATTTGAAATCCCTTTGGTTGAATTTTATTGTAAAATCGTGGTTAACATTTGGTTAAAGATGACTGAATTATTGCCCTTTACGCTGGCCCTTTTTTTTAATAGACGTTTGACATAATATGTTGATCAATAAGAACATTGACCATCATTGTTATTTCTCAACAGGCTGGAGTTTCAAGTAAAGAAGGAAGGCTGGGGTGGAGGGGGAAAGAGACAGGTGCGATTTGTGCGTGGTTCTGGCGACCAGTCACAGCTGAAACCATCATCCAAGGTGCTGACTGTCAGTATTGGGCCAGGACTTCCAAAGGATTCTAGTAAGACATTTATATGTAGTACAGTACTAATATTAACAATAATAATAACAGTAACGGTGATAATAATAATTATAATAAATGATAACCACTAATGATAATTAATGTTTTTAGTAACCCCCCACCCCCATAGTGTGGGCCCCAATGACTTTACATAAATATCAAAGAAGGTATTATTTCTCTACAATTGTTATGGAGAGATAGTTGTCTAAGTGTTGGACATAAAAGTTTTTGTAGGATTGCAATGTATGAATGACTAGTTTTGATTTGCTTTGTTGTAATACATCATTATTTGTTTGCTGCCTTTCATTGATTTCTTTGAACTGTTATACTGTTGCCATGTTACTGTTATAAAAAACTGGAAAAAAGGAGTTAGGGAACACTTCAATATTTTAACAGTCACATCACAATCTTGTGTCAGCTTTAATGATTTAGAGAGTTTTTGTGCGTATGTGTGTGTGTGTATGCGTATGCATGTGTGTGTGCGTGTGTGTGTATGTGTGCATATGTGTGTGTGTGTGTATGTGTGTGTGTGTGTGTGTGTGTGTGTTTGCATGTATTTGTAGTTTTTCCAACACTGTTTAAGTTGAGGAAAATATACGGAAAGGGACAGAACCAACCTTGGCTTATAAATGTTGGTAAATGCTGCGGCAAGTCTTATATAAAAAAAGGACATTTAGAAGGTTTCTTTGAAAAGAGAATGTGCAAAAATTGTATAGGTTTAAAGCGGCCCATACAGGATCAATTATATTGTGCAATGTAATTGTCAATACTTAGAATTGACAATTAAATTGACCATGTATGGGCGATATTGACGACTTGCGCAATTGTATTGAGTCAATCAAAATCAGTTTGATATTTTATTGCGCAAGTCTACTTGCTTGCACAATTTAGCTGACCGTGTGTGGTGACTGTCAATTAAATTGTGCAATAATGATTGTTCATCCAGATTTCGTACTGTCATCATGTATGGGGTGTCTGATAAAGCAGAAGACAGGGCATTTCAGTTGGAGTGTATTGGGGTTTACAAAAGTTTACCAGCCCTATGGAAAGTGAGGTGTGATGATTACAGCAACAGACAAAAGAAAGATGCAGCTTACAATGTATTGATTGAAAACTTCAAGGAAAAGTACCAAAACTATACAAGAGAAGATGTCCAAAAAAAAAAAAGATAAATGACTACAGAACAAATTATTGCAAGGAATTAAAGAAAGTCTTTGACTCCGAAAAATCTGGTACAGGGAGGGACCAGGTTTATGAAACAACTTTGTGGTATTTCAATGCCTGTTTCCTTTTTGGGAAGTCATGTTCGTTTTCTGTAGCAAGATTGCTGGGTCGAAATCACCCATCCTGTCTCTGCGGGTTGCTAGACCAAAATGAGCTTGGTTTGCGCAGTTAAATTGTCAATTATATTGAGCTGTGTGTGGACAGAGCAACCGGGATTGCACAATATAATTAATTGTGTATGGACCGCTTAGCACCCTTTGCAACACTGCGAGGTTATTTAAAAGGAGGGACCTCTGAATTAAAGTTCATCTCCACTAGGACTCGGCCAAATGCAAAAATTTGTGTAAAGTGCTTTTCCCCAAGGAGACAGTGTGGGACTGAGCTGAGCCTCGGAAACCCTGAACCTTCAATCTCATGATTATAGGTCTGGTAGCCTTACCACTCGACTATCGACGCCTCCAAGGTCTCTTCAGTCTTTTATCAGTCGCACATCTCCCCCCCC